AGGCCCAGCAAAAGGACCTGCACCTGTTGCAGCTCAAGCACCAGCAGAAGAAAGTGCAGAGCAGCTCACCAAGTTTGCTGCAAAGTTGCTTCCTTGTATTGCTCTGACGGCAGGAAGCAGAATACATTAAGACTTTTGGGACACATGTTGACAATAGTTGCTCTACTGTAGAATGAGCTTGTGCGAGACAGCTTCAGGCAAGCTTCTTCACCGCCCGCAGATCAATCAGAGGCTTAAGAACGACTTTGTAGAATTGGGCTCTTTCAAGTGTGTTTGCTGACGTTTCCTGCTAGTGTTCCAGAAGGTCTCACAGTGAATTTGTCTTCTACTCGTACAGCACCTTTTTTTTGCGAGAGCTGCTTTTGACAACACACAGACATTAAATTGATAGCACAAGAGCTTGGCATGCGTTGAAATCTCAGAAGGTCCAAAGCCTCGAGTTGCCATGCTTTGAGCACACAAAAAGTTGATGCTTTGCTTGTGAGGGCTGCAACCATGGTCGTGCAGGCTACCCCAGCACCGGCAGCTACTCCAGGGAAAGGTGGCAAGTGTTGATCTTAGAATCATTCTCTTTGGGGGAAATCATTGACACCGCAGAAACCTGATGAAACCTGCACAAGCTACACATCGGATTTATGTAAACAGACAACACATGTTGCGAGTTGTTTGGATGAGACAAAGATCGTTTGGTAAGCAATCGGCCACTGCAAGGAAAGGCCCAAAGGGCCCCGCAAAAGGACCGCCGGCTCCGGTAGCTGCAGCAGCAGAGCCTGAGCAGCAGACTCAGAGCTGGTTTGAGATTCTTTTGAGGTAAAGAATGGTCAACAGTGACATGGTCAAAATGATGGAAGGTTCAGAGGGAGGCCTTCAAGCTCATTCAGAAAACGAAACATCAGCTACCTGCTTCTGCCATCGTGTTAGATGTGCTCTTCCGGAGGCCAACTGCTGAGCAACCAGCTACACCACAGGCCGGTAATCAGCGTTGCCTGACATTCTTCACCGCTGTTGAAGACCTTCAGATTCCCTATGTTTGCAATCCTGGGTCCCTGCATAGGCCAGTGAAACTGCACCTGCGGCAACCGGCGCTGAAGCTGCAGCCCCTGTGGAAGGAGCGCCAGCAGTTGCACCAGGCGTGACACCCGCAGGATCGTTTTCCGCTTGACTTTGCAGGGAATCATGTGGAGGGTGTTTGACTTGTGGAATATATATATATATATACATGCTAGCTCGTTTCAGAATCGTTTTAGTTTGTGGTTGGATGGAGCTCTTTGTAGGCTACAAGCTCAAAGGTGGATATGTGAGCAGTCCTGTCACCACATTTGATTTCAGCCTGAAGCTCCGAAACGGTTCATAATTCTGTCCACAGAGAGTGTTCATGGCCGACCCCATCACTTTAGGTGGCAAAGGGCCAGCTAAAGGCAAGGCGTGTGGATCCTCAGTTCGGTGAGAGCCGGAAGATTGTCCATTTGCCGACATCCTTTCTGGCATTTATTCCTTTGGTTGTGTCCTAGCATTCTACCTTCTGACATATCCATCATTATTTATCTATATTATTTATCAATCAATCTATCTATCTACCTACCTTGCTTTCTTTCTTCATTTCTTTATATCGATGTGTTTCTTTATTTTCGCTATTTCTTTCCTAGGCCTTTCTTTCTTTCTTTCGTAGGCCGGGGTCCCACAAAATGCAACGAAATGAGGGTCAAGTGTCAAAAACTGCGGGAATATTGCGATGTCAAATGTGGCACTCTCGCACGAAAGGACGGGCAAGGTTAAAACTGAGGACATATTCCGATTTCAAGTGGTCCGCGAAGGGAGTGCGCAAACCGCATGAACATGGGCTAGAGCACATCTTCGGGCAGGGCCTGGGTCGAAACATGTTGCTGGAAAAACGCGCGCAAACCTGCTTAAACATTGTCTTGGAGACATTTGTGGGGCAGGATCTGAACCCACGCATTTTACGGTAAAACTGCTCGAGCATCACCTTGAAAACATTTTTGGGGGGCAGGACCTGAATGCATACATGTTCACTGCCAAACGGTGGCACATAAACCTGCTTGAGCATCCTCTTGAGAACATCTTGGGAACAGGACTTGGCTGCATAGTGTTTGCATGTTTTTGCCCCAAAAAAACACGCAAACCTCTCTAAACTTCGTCTGGAATATGTTTTTTTGGGGCAGGACCTGAATCCAAACAATATACTGCAAGAACGCATACAAACCTGCATGAACATCGACTGGAAGACATCTTTGCTTCCCTCCTCCTGTGAACATCCTGTTCATACATGTTCATATGGATTGAACTGTATGGCTTCTGTAAACAAACAGAGATGATCGCCTGCCACACATTTCCTAAGGAAAGGCTCCAAAGGCGCTGCTGCGCCCAAACCCGGGGTGCCCGAGGCAGCGGTGAAGACGAGTCGAACGGTGTTCCCGCTAACAAAAGGTTGGACAAATGAGAAGAACAAACAAAGGGAAGGTCTTTGGGTTTAGGCCCCCGCCTTATTGAGTACATTCCATGCTGCAGGCTCGTCCAATGTTTTCTGAACTGGGTAGACCCTGCAGGCGAGTGAGACTGCCAGGTCAGGGACTTAGGCTTTGGGGGGTTCTGCGTCTCAAGGTAGAACATGATAGAACCCCAGTTCCGACTCTTTCAAAGGGGGAATTGATGAGCCTATTGAGGAGAGTGGACCAGGAACAGCATTTTTGCCAATGATGTTGGAGTTTGGAATGTGGTCAGTCCGGAAACCCTGTGAAAGCTCTTTCCTATTTGCTTCGGACAGCAGGCGCCTCAGTACAATAGTATTAAATATCTTTCAGAAAGTAGTTCGAGTCTTTCAAAGGCCCTTTCAGAGGCTGGCTTTGGATGAAGCCCGGGGCCCAAATCCAAGGTCAGCATTTAAACCTGCAGATGCACCTCTCGATGATGAACCAGATCCATTGCCTCTCGTCACAAAGGACCGGTCATTCACTCTTCGGTGTTTGGAAGAAATTGAAGAACCGGTTTCTGTCATGACAGAACTTCGGTTTGGGATAAACATGACACAACTTCGTAGGCGGCTGTGTTTCAGCCGCTCACCCGTTCGCACTTGACGGTAGCACTTGCCCCCATTGAGGTCGGAAGCCTCGTCCCCGACTCGAGGCTGGGAATGGGCAGTGCAGACAAAGCAGTTGGCATGCCTGGCACGCCTGGCATCATGGAGTGAAGGTGGAATCAACCCAGCAAGGACTAACATTGCATGTGATTTGGTTAATCAATCACGTTTCACATCAAGCAATACCGTTTGGCTGGCTGTTTGACATCAAACGGTATTGTTTGGGCAACTCCTTTTGCTGCACGATCGTGGGCAACTCACTGTGCAGATATTGAAAGCTAGTGCTGTTCTGGTAAAGTTCGGCACATTTAGAGACGATACCTTGTACCCCTCCCGTGCGTATTTTCTCAAAGGGATCTTGCTTTATTATGCATTATTCTGTTTGATTCCAAGACCAAAGGCATACTGCACACAACATCCTGTTCTTCAACAAGTGGAATTTCACATGCAAACCCTTTTGAGCCACTGACATGGACCTTTATTTGTCGCTCCGCACCCCGTCATCGCGACCAAGGATCCATTTCGGGTGACTCACCGACCTCGCGACCACGGAGGTGTGCCCGAAACGACCAGACCGGCGGACCGAAAGAAAGAAAGCGAGGTGTCAGTGAAGTCAGTCACCAAAAGATAATATACATATATATATATATTATTGAGTATATACATTATGGTACTATATGTCAGAAAGAAGTCATGGATCATGTAGTCATGGGGAAAAAAAGCATGGTTCTTTTGAGTCATATCGACACAGGAGGCAGCTCTCGCACTTGCACCGGCATAGCGTGCTCAAACCTGAGGAGGATGAGTCGTTGACCGACGGTGAGTGGTTGACCTACTGTAGCTTCGGTAAACCATACCAGTGGACCTATCTACCAGCCATCTAGTGTTGCCATCTCGGTAGAGTTTACTGAAGCAAAGTTGCAAATGTCCACTCCAGGATGGGTTGTAAAAGACCCAGAAATCAAGAAATCAAGAGACAAAGACTCGGTGGGGAGATATTCCTTTGGAACATCATGCTGCAATAGTCCGGAGTTTGGATGGCAGCCCCCAGATCTAATTGGATGAACACTGATTACAGCAGGGAAACCACTACCACTCATGAGTTTGTTCAGTTCTAAGGCAAGGTCTTGGTACTTTATCCTGCCATCCACTCCAGCTGTTACGTTGTTCGGTAATCTCAACATTGTGTGTTGATGCGAAATTCAAACAACACGAACCACATAAGACTGCTGAGATTGATGGTTGCATTCCTGAGTTTCGTGAGTCCTGTCTCCTTTCAGCTGCTTTGGCTCTCTATTTTTTGGGAGCCTCAGAAGGGTCCTTCCGCGCGCTTGCGCTCCTGGCGAAGGCGAGTAGCAACCAACGACACCGAGTAGGACGCAAGGGAGGAAGAAAACACAAAAAATCCAAGGCCTTCTTCCTGCAATCTCTAGGGACTTTCATGGACTTTGACAGCTTTTGGGCTTTTGGTCCCAACAAGGTTCATTGACCTGAGTACCTGATGGTCGGCTGGGCGGCTGGGCGTGGTTAAAGGAGGTCAGACTCGAATGACGCAAGGGTTCAAGCGCATGGATCTATGGTGCAATTACCAATAATCGAAGGGTACGGTAAAACAGATCCTGGTTGGCTAGCTTCTTTGAATGAGCAACATTTTCTCTACACGTTCATTCATATACAGTAGGCCTAGGAGTCACTTTGGTAGAAGTGGTGCACTCGGATGAACGGGCCATGAAAGGCTCCAAACGCTTGATTCAATCCAGACCAATAGACTCGTCCTCAAGCTTCCCACCTTCCACAGGGCTCCACGATGCGGCAACGAAGCAGAGCCGCTACACTGAGCCCCTTCGTGTAATGTTCAAGATGGCAAGGACTCAAAGAGTGGATATTCATGTGGTATTCCAGTGGTGTTTGCGGTGGCCTTGTAGTACGGAAAAGTTAAACTAGCGCAGTTCATTGCCATTTTTCCAGAGTCTTCGTGTAGCAGTCACGTGGTAGGCCACATGGTGCTTGCATCGCATGTTTAGAGCATGTTTGACCATCTGACCAAGGCCTGCTTTGCTTGGTTTGTCTGTGGAGGTATGAAGAGCGAGGACGGAGAACGGGCTGGCTGCATACATGCTCTATCATGCTTATGTTTTGCTCAATTTGGTGCATCACTTCTTTGTTGTGTTGTTTTTGCATACGTGACGCGGAACTGGACCGGACCTAACTTCAGTGATTAGGACCCAAGAACTCACACAGGTGGTTTTTCGGCGCATCGACCATCGAGCATTCGCCAAGAGACTGCCTTGCTTGATGCAGAGAGGCTTTCTGACTGCTTCAACGCCAAGATCCTCCTTAAGTGCCCTGAAGGTGCCGAAATGTCGGAGAGTTCAGATCCGCGAGCTGACTGACTGTCTGGAGAGCATTGGTTTACGACGCGACTGAGCTGAGCTCTTTCTCTCGTTCGCCCAGTCGCAGAGCCGCAGAGCATTCACCGATGTTTGGCAGTCCAAACTGTTTGGACGACTCGATCGTTGGGACTCCGTTGCATGTTTTTAGCTACGACATGCTACGACCATGCAACAACGAGTAAGCATGTTTTGGCAGTCGTGACTGGATGATGTCGTGCCAGGCTGCTGGTGACGACTTTGATTTTGGAGACACACCACCATCCAGAGCGGCGCCAGCGTCCACACCAAGCAAGAGCAAGGCAAGAGGGTAGAATTGGGAATCTTGGCTTTGGCAGGCTACAGGCTATAGTTTGAGGTTTGGCCTGATACCAAGGGCTTGTAAGATGGATTCTTAATTATGTCAAAATGCTTCACATCATCCAGTATCAGCTCATCTCATTGCATCACAGGGCATTTGTTTTAGCTTTGTGATGCCATATACTACTGTTCCCTGCTCTTTTCTTCTATCAAGTGTGCATCAGTCTATCACGTTGCTCAGACATAGTTACTAGTTCTTTACTGTACTTTTTATTTTTCATGCCATGTCCATGTCCAATTCGACTCAACCAATTACGAAAGCCAGCCTTCGTAGAAGGCGCTAGCGGAGTTGTGTCTGGCGAACGAAGTGAGTAGTTAGGGGGTCTGGGGGGGTGGCCCGAGAAAGGGACACGTCAACTCAGCACATGCTGGGGGAGGAGGGTGCTCCGAGGGAAGGTTTTTTGAGGTTGTGTTGGAGGTGATTTTTGAGGGGTGGTGATGCAAGAAATGCCAAATGCATCATTTGCATCATCTGAATGGAAAGGTGTAGTTGGCACCTTGCAAGGTAGAGAGACCTAGGGTAGCTACAGTGCAGCTACCAGGTATAGTACTTCAAGTTCCCTTTCCGTCAACCGCTTGAGAACCTCTACACACGCACAGCAAGCCACAGCCTTGAAGTCTCATTCGTGCTTTGAACTTGTATAGGTGTGTAAGAGGTATAGCAACATACTACCTGAGAAGCTGCAAAACGAAAGCCAGCGCTTCCCTTTCTCGAGAACTGCGCGTCGAAGCATAGGGTAGAAAGGTAGGTCTGCACCCTAGATCCACCATCCCACTCCATTTTCTTTCATTTCTCTACGGCAGCTCCGCTTGGCATTTGCCAGGTGGAGGCGGCCGTGAGACCTCTTACACACCTACACAAGTTCAAAGCACGAATGAGACTTCAAAGCTGTGGATTGCTGTGCGTGTGTAGAGGCTATCGAGCGGTTGACGGAAAGGGAACTTGAAGTACTATACCTGGTAGCTGCAAGCAAGGTGCCAACTACACCTTTCTTTTCAAGGTGGCCTGAACAGAGTGTTTCAGGGCAGTAAACCGTGGTCTCAGGCCACCTTG